AACCGGTCGAGGTGCCGTGTGCTGGGCTGGGACTCCATGAACTCAAAGTACTCCGAATTCTGAGGCATGCTGGACTCCCGATGCGGCTGCAAACACAATTATTGTTCATACATATAGAGAGATAATAATATATATCTTTATACCTTATATATTAATATCCCAATTGAAAGAGCTGCAGAGCTGGCCTAACATAGATAGCTGCGTCTCCCCTCGACGCTTGACGTCAACAGAGGATAAAAAAGTCAAGGTAAAAATATTTAGATAGGGTAAAATATGGTTAGTTTATCTAAAATTTGTACAGATGAAAGGTTTTAGAATGAATTTTTATATTTTTTATAGGGAAGACCGATCAAGTGGACTTAGCGAAAGTGAGACGGAACTGTGTTCAGTAAGAAAAAATAGCCACATTTTTTAAAGGTTTCTAAGGGCATTTCTTTAATCGAAATCCTGCAGGCACAGGATCCTGTAAACTGATGAGCAGAACTTCCTCCAAATGCCAAATTGTATTTGTTTAACGCCCCGTGCAACACTGTAAGGTTATTCAGGAGGCGGGAACTCCGAATTTAGAATCCATCCCCGAAAGGACCGAGCCAAAATCGGAAAATTCGTGTAAAGTGACTTTCCCAGGAACACAATGTCGAATCGAGCTGAGGCTCGAATCCCTTAATCCGCAATCTTAAGACAATGGGTACAGTGTACAACCACTGGACCACCTACCCCACCCACCATTTCTCCGACGGTTTTTCTTTGCCGCTGGGGCGGACAGCATTTCGACTGTAGCGCACCGCACTACTTTAATGCGGTGTTCGCACATACAGGAGTAACGAAGCCGAGTAAGACAAAATTTCTAAGTCCAGCAAGTCGGGGCTACTCTGGATACATTTCGCCGAGGAATCAGCCTTCCCCCGCGAGTGATAGTTCATGCTCGCCGTCTGAAATTATTACACGGGAAGCTTGCCGAAATTTTCAAACATGCTTACAATTTTTGCCGAGCGAAAAACGAGTCGCCGAGTCAATAACTTGCTCGGGGAAAACTCGGGGAGGACTCGGGGAGTATCAGAAATAGCTCGGCGTGCAAAGTTGCATACATTGCCGAGTGACAATCACACGCCGACAAGATCTGAATGGTAGCCGTGTTAAATTTTATACTCTGCTCCCTGGGTAAAAATCTTGAACGGGAGTATGAGTTACTACTCAAGCACGGTGTGTGAAAGTTGACACGACGAGCATGTAACTATTTCCTGTTGCCAGGTATCGAAGAGTGACAACCAGCTTGATGCCAGGTTCCAGTGACTGCCTCCAGAAAGTGTTTACCTTTTGGATGGTGCGGCCAATTTTCTCCTGTAGTTCTTGGGAAAAAAAACCCTCTGGAGAAGCTCTGTGGAGGTTCCTGAAGGATGCCACATCTTCAACTTGCACTTCAGCCATCAGCTTCTCAAACTGTCCTAAGTTCTTATGAGCCATGGTCTAACCCAACAGGTCCTCCTCCTCCTCCTCCTCCTCTTCCTCCTCTTCTCCTCTTCTTGCACCAGCACAACAGCAAGGGCACCATTATTATTTATACACGGAGTATACGTCTATCGTCTGTGTTATATGAGACATGTTGAAGGAATGAGCACAAACATTTTGCCCCCCTCTTTATATATTATAACATTGTTCGCTGGCAAGATGGTCAGCATGGACGGCGAGTTTGTCGGCGTATACAATTTTACTCGACTGCTTCATTTTTTGGCTCTGCAAGTGGCCAGGATTGAAACTAATAGCTCGGCAAGACGCTCGGCGATATGCTCGACGTCCGAAATTATTGCTCGGCGAGCGTCTCCACAAGTGCTCACCGACACAATAATGTCAACAGTCATGGCCAGATGCTCGTCACGAATAAACCCGAATTTGACATGATCTTATCGGGAATTGCTCGTCGACTCTACTCCTGTATGTGTGAACACCGCATAACATCGTATCTGGAGCGTTAACAGAGGAGAGACAGGGTCGAGCACGAACAGACAAGAGCTTGATAGATAGATAGATAGATAGATAGATAGATAGATAGATAGATAGATAGATAGATAGATAGATAGATAGATAGATAGATAGATAGATAGAGAAACAGAGTGAGTGAGAAAGACAGAGTGAGCGAGAGAGAGAGAGAGAGAGAGGGAGAGAGAGAGAGAGAGAGAGAGAGAGAGAGAGAGAGAGAGAGAGAGAGAGAGAGAGAGGCGGGGATGAGGAGGAGAGAGAACGAGTTTCCACTTCTCCCAACGTTCACTATGTCCGTGTAGGGTTACCTGAACACTGGTTCTGCGTTGCTTGCGTTGTTTGCTACGTTTACAGCAGGGCATGGCGATCTTCTGAAATAGAAGCTCTGGTCTTTGTTTTGGGTAACAGCGAGGCGCGGAAAATAATAATTCAAAGCAAGACATACCCCTTCCCCCTTTCCTCAATACACACGAACTAACTTAAATACAAGCAAAACAAAAGCCAAAACAAAACGAAAAGACAAACTTGGAATGCCCTACCTAATTAAAAACTGCAAACAAAAATAAATAAAGACAATTATGTTCCGCAACAGTTTACCGCTCTCTGTAGCTATAATTTAATGAATTTTGGTTATTCGTTGGTATCTGAGTAGACACGATAAGCTGTATTTATTACCATAGCACATGATGTCGCTGTTTCGCTACCATAGATTGACAAAATTTTATCTGACATTTTTGGCCGTAGTTACTAAAGACAAGGAGGCCAGAAACCAAATGGTCTAGCTGCTCTATCAAAATCGTACGGTTTTAAGTCGTTATTAAGATATTCACATATTGCAGTTTTTGAAAAAGCTTGATACATTGTGAAAAAAAATAATTTTAACCTCAAATTTCTCAAAACTAGTTACTGAGCAGCTAAATCTTTGTAATTCTGGGGCAGCGGTTAATAAATAAAAATGGTAAGGGTTTCACGGCGCTCGTAACTGCATACGACCATATGAGCGCGCGGGACATATTACACATTTTCAGTTGGTAAGAATTTTGAATTTTGCCAGGGTGGCGGCTAAATCTTATCGATTTTAGAACACCAAAGAATCTTTGACGTACGCAGCTTGGACACGAGACCTCCGAGATATTTCGCCCGAGTAGCGGTTGTCACAAGCCGTGGATGTAAAACTAAAAAGCTAAGAGAGGAGCAGTCAGGATTTCGTAAAAAGACCAGATTGCAACTTTGGGGATAATTGTGGAACAGTCCACAGAGTGGAACTCTTCCCTATACGTTAACTTTGATGACTACGAGAAAGCTTTTGACAGTCTAGATAGGGACTCAATGTGGCAACTCATGCGCAACCACGGAATACCTGGCAAGTTCGTCAGATTGATCAAGAGGATGTATGAGGGAATGAGCTGAAGTGTCTTACTTGTACTTGGAGGGCAACTGACAGACTCGTTTGAAGTGAAAACAGGAGTGGGACATGGATGCCTGCTATCGCCTTTTCTCTTTTTATTAGCAGAGGATTGGATTAGGAGACAGACATCATCGGGACAACGCGGTGGCATACAGTGGACCCTTCCCAGTCAGTTGGAAGACTTGGACTTTGCCGACGACTTGGCACTTCTTTCTCACAGTCGAGCCCAGATGCAACAGAAAACAGACCGCCTCAGGACCTTCTCCCGTGGTGTTGGACTCCATATTCACAGATATAAAACGAACGTTCTTTGCATGAATACAGCCGACGTTCCTATCACACTGCAAGGGGCACAATTGGCGGATGTTGAATCCTTCACCTACGTGGGAAGTGTCATCAACAAGGCAGGGGGAACAGACAAAGACATCATGTCAATGTCAGAATCCAAAAGGCAAGAGCAGCATTCATCATCCTCAGGAATATATGGGTGTCTAAGGAACTGGGATTGAACACCAAGCTGAGGATCTTAAAAACAAACGTGAAGACTGTTCTACTGTATGGTTCAGAGATCTGGAGGCTCACAGCATCAGCAGCAAGGAACCTGCAGGGCTTCATAAATGGATGCCTATGGAGGATAGTGGGGATCAAGTGGTAGGATCGAATCACAAATGCTCAACTGTGTGAAAGAACAAGCCAAAGGCCAGTAAAGGAAGACATACAGGTGGAGAAATGGAAACGGATTGGGCACACCCTGAGGAAAGCCCCGACAAGCATCATCAGACAGGCTTTGATGTGGAATCCACAAGGAAATCGTAAGAAAGAAAGACCAAAGATGACATGGAGGCGAGCGGTACAAGCGGAAATGGAAAAGGCGGGGACACAAATTGTA